TATCTATCTATCTATCTATCTATCTATCTATCTATCTGTTCATTCCTCCCTCTCCCTCAAACTCTCTCTCTCTGTCTCTCTGTCTGTCTCTCTGTCTCTGTCTCTCTCTCACTTTCTCTCTCTCTCTCTCTCTCTCTCTCTCTCTCTCTCTTTCTTTCTCCCTCTTTCTCCCTCCTTCTCACTCTAACACAAACACATTCAAGTCACTCCCAAGCTCTCCCCGCTCTTCCACCCACTCCCCAGAAGAAAAAGAAGCAGTCAGTTTTGGAGTTAAGAAAACAGGACCCAGTTTTAACAAGCCACAATTAAGGTCAACGCTGTTTATTTTTTCTCCGAGATATTTTTCCTCAGAAACCTCAGAAATGGCCTACCTTCATTTAAATGATCTGTTTTCGCCACAAATTCCTTCACCAACTGGTGTTTAGATCCTTAGATCTGTCCTTGACATCAAATTGGCCTACCATCTTAATAATACTTCGTCCGTCAACTGCTAACAATGACCAGTGCATCTGCAAAATAGAACATTTCTCCTGCGAAATAGAAGAATTAGAAGAAGACTTAAAGGTTAACTTGACTAGTGGCTTCTTCTATGATAATTGCCAATGAGACCAATCCTGGCAGAGAAAATTTTGCCCACATAATTATTATTTTGAGTTTTCGAAAGCTCCCTTTCCACTTGTGGATGTACGAACCTTGCGGGCTTTTAACATCCTTTTCTCAGCCCTTTATATCCACTCTGTTTCTGGCTGGCTTTCTGTCTGTCCGTTTGAGTATCTATATATCTATCTATCTGTCTATCTATCTATCTATCTATCTATCTATCTGTCTATCTATCTATCTATCTATCTATCTATCTATCTATCTATCTATCTATCTATGTCATTCTTTGACTCTCTCCATATATGCCTCTCTTGGTCCATCTGTCTCTTTTTCTCTCCGCCTCTCTATTTCCCCCTCGCCTCGCCCGGCCCCTCCCTCGGTCCATAATTGTTCTGACAAACTCCCCCCCACACCCCCAACCTCCCTCCTCTTTTTCTTTCCTTCAATATTCCTATCGATCTCTTATATTTCAAATATTACCACAAAGACTGTCATTCCATAAATGTCTGTATGTGTCCCCAGCCACCACAACCACAACCACAACCACCACCACCCCTCCGCCAAAACCGACGAGCTGGGTTCACACCGTGCGCAAAAGTGAGTACTCAAAATGCTTCTTAATAGTTGGAAAGTGCGTGAGAGCATGTTCGCTGCTTTAGTGTTACAAAGTTATATCTGCTCAATACATATTTTTCAGAGAATTGACGTCAAAATGTTTGAATTTCACATGTCAAGATTTTCCAAAAGCATTTCTATAAATAACTTGATGACAACTCCGAATAGATCTAATTCTCAACGATTTTGACGGAGAAGATAGAACATTTGGTTTCTGACCTCATGGTCTTGGTAACTCAAAAACGGTCAAAAATGTCAGATTTATTATTTTTTGTTTACTATAGTAAAGGGTTCTACGGCGCTCACAACTGCATAAGGTCATATGAGCGCCAAGGGGTGGGTGTCAACGGAGAAGTCTTTACAGGGAATCAGACTCACTTTGCTCCCCTCTCTAGCTTCAACAGCACAAGGTCTGCTTCAACTATCAAGGCACCCCAGAAATAGCAGGTCACAAGAGTGACAAACATACAAACAAATTAGAGGAAAATGACAATAGTAAGGATTAGGAAACAAAAGGCAGCAGTTCCTTGTTGTAGATCAGGCACAGTTATGAGCGTGACATGAATCAGCGCATTTACAATTCTACTGTGCTTGAACGAGAAATGTTCCCCCTTTGCGAATAGCCTGAAGACACTTCAGTCAATGGCACTGACCCGGGGTGGGGGGGT